ACTCTCACTTGCCAGTGAATGAAGTTTTCCAAACAGGATCTTTAGCTAGGTGTTGAATATAGAAAAAAGGAAAGAATTTCAAGCATTGCAATTAATATTTCTAACTTCGGTGAACTGCACTAGGACTTCCCTATCTCTAAATAAGTACACACATTTTTGGGTCCTTCTGTGTATGAACAGTTTGCATTTCTATCAGATTTGACACACATTCTTACTACATCATAGATCTGTATTTTGGTCAGGTTTTTTTAAGTTTAAATTTTCTGAAGCTGTTTAAGGATAAAAAAAATAAGTTTCCCCTTTAATATGGATGAGCCTGCTGTTTGTAAAAAGCAAATCCAGCAATTAAGCCTACAGTTGTTCAAAAACCCAAGCACTACTGACTTCTGCAGTTCTAAAATAGAAGCATGCCTTGCATTCAAGTAAGAGACAGCTGGTAATTCTGATTTAGAGATTAGTTTAATGAAATAAAGTTGGCTCTAAATACCCAGAACTTACAAGGTACAGTGATTAGTTACAGTACTGATTAATGGATAATTATGCAATCATGTACAGTGTTGGTCCAAGGAGAAGCCTGGGGCAACTGGTAATGATTAATGTTAAATGGAAATTGTAAATAGCATTCAGTTGTTTACTTCAGCTTTTAGGAACTTTCATAGACGATTTAGAAAGATTTTTTTATTTTTTGGAAGAATATTGAATATCTGTATCAGATCATAATTGTGCATTTATCATTTGTGTGGGCTTTAAGTGGTTTCATAGATTTTAAGAAAGTTTGGAATTCTTTTAATTCCCTCACATGACAAACAGGGTTTTTAATCTAATCAGGACATAATAAAAACTTTGAAGACACTCCTCATTGTTCCATTTTACTTATTTAACAACCTTTGGCACATTGTTCACTAAGAGGAATAATGAACTAAATGGTTTACTTAATGGCAATACAAAGAATTATTTTTTACTAGAAATCTGTAAATTCACTCACCCAAATGTCTGTAATTCCCTGGGTCCTCTCTGTTCCCCCTTTTTAAAGATAGGTGCTCTGTTTGCCCTTCTCTAGACCTTTGGGACCTCATCTGTCCTCCATGAGTTCTCAAAGATAATCACTAATGGTTCAGAAATTGCTTCAGCTAGTTCCTTAAGTACCTTAAGGTGAATTGTGGCAGCCCTTGCTAACTTGAATACATCTAATTTATCTACTAGGGCTGTCGATTAATTGCAGTTAACTCACACAATTAACTCAGATTAATTGCAGTTTTAATCGCACTGTTAAACAATAGAATACCAATAGAAATGTATTAAATATTTTTGCATGTTTTTCTACATTTTCAAATATATTGATTTCAATTACAACACAGAATACAAAGTGTACACTACTCACTTTATATTATTTTTATTACAAAAATTTGCACTGTAAAAATCATTAAAGAAATAGTATTTTTCAATTCACCTCATACAAGTAGCGTAGTGCAATCTCTTTATCATGAAAGCACAGCTTACAAATGTAGAATTTTTTTTGTTACATAACTGCACTCAAAAACAAAACAATGTAAAACTTTAGAGCCTACAAGCCACTCAGTCCTACTTCTTGTGAAGCCAGTCGCTAAGGGTATGTCTTCACTACCAGCCGGATCAGCAGGCAGTGATCAATCCAGCGGGGATCGATTTATTGTGTCTAGTCTAGATGCAATAAATCGATTCCCGAGCGCTCTCCCGTCGACTCCTGTACTCCAGCTCGGCGAAAGGCGCAGGTAGAGTCGACGGGGGAGTGTCAGCAGTCGACTCACCATAGTGAAGACACCGCAGTAAGTAGATCTAAGTACGTCGACTTCAGCTATGTGAATAATGTAGCTGAAGTTGCGTAACTTAGATTGATCCCTCCCCCCATTGTAGACCAGGCCTAAGACAAACAAGTTTGTTTACATTTACAGGAGATAATGCTGCCCACATATTTACAATGTCATGTGAAAGTGAGAACAGATGTTCGCATGACACATTTGTAGCCGGCATTGCAAGGTATTTATGTGCCAGATATGCTAAACATTCATGCTTTGACCACCAGTCCAAAGGACATGCTTCCATACTGATGACGCTCTGCCATATATTCCATGTTATAGCAGTCTCGGATGATGACCCAGCATGTTGTTCGTTTTAAGAACACTTTCACTGCAGATTTGACAAAACTCAAAGAAGGTGCCAATGTGAGATTTCTAAAGATAGCTACAGCACTTGACCCAAGATTTAAGAATCTGAAGTGCCTTCCAAAATCTGAGAGGGATGAGGTGTGGAGCATGCTTTCAGAAGTTTTAAAAGAGCAACACTCTAATGCAGAAACTACAGAACCTGAACCATCAAAAAAGAAAAATCAACCTTCTGCTGGTGACATCTGACTCAGATGATGAAAATGAACATGCGTTGTTCTGCACTGTTTTGGATCATTATCAAGCAGAACCCATCATCAGCATGGACGCATGTCCTATGGAATGGTGGTTGAAACATGAAGGGACATATGAATCTTTAGCGCATCTGGCACGTAAATATCTTGCGATGCTGGCTACAACAATGCCATGAGAATGCCTGTTCTCACTTTCGGGTGACATTGTAAACAAGAAGCAGGCCGCATTATCTCCTGCAAATGTAAACAGACTTGTTTGAGTGATTGGCTGAACAAGAAGTGGGCTTGTAGGCTCTAAAGTTTTACATTGTTTTATTTTTGAATGCAGTTATTTTTTGTACATAACTCTACATTTGTAAGTTCAAGTTTCATGATAAAGAGATTTCACTACAGTACTTGTATTAAGTGAATTGAAAAATTATTTCTTTTATTTTTACAGTGCAAATATTTATAATAAAAATAAATATAAAGTGAGCACATTACACTTTTTATTCTGTGTTGTAATTGAAATCAATATATTTGAAAATGTGGAAAACATCCAAAAATATTTATATAAATTGTATTCTATTGTTTAACAGTGCAATTAATCGTGATTAATTTTTTTAATCACTTGACAGCCCTACTATCTACATATTTTTAATCTGTTCCCCCTTGTTGTTAATATTGTCTTAAGCATTTGGTCACAAACAACTTTTTTAGTGAAGACTGCAGCAAAATAGGTTTTTCACGCCTCAGCCTTCTTGATGTCATCCATTACTAGCTCTCCTTCTCTGCTGCTAAATAATGGACTTAAATTTTCCTTTATCTTTCTCTTGTCCTTAATGTACTTATAGAACCTCTTCTTAACTGTTATGTCCCTTGCTAGGTGTAACTCATTTTGTGCTTTAGCCTTTCTGATTTTGTCCCTACATGCCTTTACTATTCTTTTGTATTCATCCTTAGCAATTTATTCCCGTAGGATTCCTTTTTGATTTTCACATTATTAAAGAGCTCCTGATAAAGGCATATTGGCCTCTTACTGGTTTTCCTATCTTTCCTTATCATTGTGAGAGTTTGCTCTTGTGCCTTTAATATTGTCTCTCTGAGAATCTGCCAAGTCTCCCAAACTCCTTTTTCTATTAGATTTTCTTTTCATGGGACCTTACCTACTAGTGCTCTCAGTTTGTTGAAGTCTGCTTTTTTGAAGTCCATTGTCCTTATTGTGGTGCTTTTATTTCTTTCTTTCCTTAGAATCATGAAATCTATCATTTCAGGATCACTTTCACCCAAATTGTCTTCTACCTACCTTTTACCTTCAGATTAATAACCACAAAAAATAACTGTTTGTCAGAATCAAGCCTAGACTGGCTGCCACTGGATACCTCATTCACCTTTTTAATAGTCTGTAAAGATATTAATATCTCAGTATGTAAGTTATGACTATACAGTATAGGGTCATTGACTGGCCAATTTTGAGACAAAGTTTTTTCTGATTTTGATTGCTGTGTGGACAGTGATGGGGGCAGAGTTCAGGTTGCGTGTTTAACCGCAATATGTACATGTTATTGAGTTACTGTGGTTTGATTACAGCTTTTTAAATGGTTTGCCTTTGTGTATGTAAACTTTAAAATGTTCTTAGTTTGACATCTATTGTGAAATAACCATGAAATCATTATTAAGGCAGACAAAGGGGGAGGATTCATGTCTTTTCACACTTAGGAAACTGGCTATATTAGCCAGTCCTTAGATATGTCACCAGAAGTTTCTGGAGGTGCACTAGTACTGATAAGCTTGGAAGGAAGGAGGATTTCTGGTTACTGGAAGATGGGGTGGAGCAAGTCTCAAACAATCCCTCCTAGGTAGCTCCATTCTCTTTCTCCATCCAACCTTCCCAATGTGACCTGCCTTATCCTGCTCACAGCTCTCGGTTGACCACCGCCCATGTTTGTGACCAGCAGCGGTAAGGTGGATTACAATGGGGAAATCAGGATTAGAAGATAGAGGGATGACCTGGCATAGTGCTGGTAGCAGTAGGAGAAGAGTAGGGAGGCGGATGAGGAGATTAGGCTGTTAGTCTGTCAGACAGGAGGAGGTGGTTGGGGATTCTGATGTCTGCAGGAGTATTTAGGATGTCCTCCATATTTAGGGAAAAGGATGGTGAGTCTCCTGCTGGTGCAGAGAGGAGTTGAAGTTGAGTCTTCACAGCAATAAAGGATGTTGAAATCTATCTTGCTGACTTCTTAACATAGGAAACGAGATATACGCACCTTAAATTTTTAAAAAAGCATGATGTGACCATTAGTATGGTATTTCAGAAAGCTTACTTTGATGCCTCACTATTTTATATCTGTGTGAATATTAGTGCATTTAAACCATCTCTCCATTTCTAAGGAGATTTATTGAAGTTTGTCTTTGGTAAAGTCAGAATGTATTTGTGGCATCTGCAATTTCCTGTTATGTAAAACTGAAATTGAGAACTGCTCTTCTGCATTTTATGTTTATAGCACGTGTGTATCTTGTGTTTGGGTTGGCATATAATCTGTATAAAGAGACATTTTTAAAGCTTTTATACCTTCTGTAAAAATTAAACACTGACTATTTTTTCCATGGATTTTTTTATTTACAGGGGAGTTTGACACAGTACAGAGCCCCTCAACACCGATCAAAGATCTTGATGAGAGAACGTGTCGGAGTTCTGGGTCAAAGTCTCGGGGTAGAGGGAGGAAGAATAATCCATCACCCCCTCCGGACAGTGACTTGGAGGTATGCCCTCTGGTAACTGATGAATGGTAAACTGAAGGTAGATTCAGCATATTAAAGCAGCGGAAACAGTTTAAAGCTTTAAAAATATGGCATGAATCATTAATTGAAAGTACTATATTTCTAGCAGTTACTTTACATTTATACAATATGGGGCAGATACAGTGTATACATGAATACACTGAAAGTAAGATCGTGTCAACATGATACGTGCATATTGTCTCTTCCAATTTAATGTGGAATAGATCTACAAAATAATTTAAGGTTTCTTTGTTCATATTTTTTCTGATTAACTTCTATTTTGTGTATTGTTTAACTTTCTTTTTTAAAATAAGAAAATTCAAATGTATCAATCCAATTATCTACATATTCATTGTAAAAATATGCATTACAAAAGGGAATGCATAAATATTAGACATCCGTATTTGGCCCTAATCCTGCAAACACTTAAGGACTACTTTAACTTTACCCCTGTAAGTAGTGTCATTGACTTCAGTAGTTATGCACCACTATTTGAGAGATCAAGGCCGTAGCAAAGAGATATATCTGCGTAAGGTACAAGATGAAGTTTTAAAACACAAGTGTCCTAGCAGTGGAGTGATTATATTCTTGTTACCCCTGTGTTAGCAGTGTTCTGATATAGTGTGACAGAAGGAGAACAACACTCATTGTATGCATGGTATATTCCAGCACTGGGATCAGAGAAATGTTCTGCACATTTGTGTGATGTGCCTCCTCCCACTGTGATACTGGCACTCAATGCTAATATCATTGGACTGCTCCACCCCCTGTTTATGTAGTACATATCTCCACATATATCACCAGAAGTCAACTTCGTTATCACTTGGCTATTCCAGCCCCTGCATCTCTACTGGAGGGACAGGGTTGACCGTAGCACTTAGCATCAATCTCAGATGCCATAGCTTTTTGTACAGAGGGCGAGGAATTTTATCCCGATTTTGGGCGAACTGTCTGATTTTTTTTGTAGTTTTCCACAAACTATTTTTTTAAATTAACCAGCTGTAATTTTTTACATTTATGGGAAGATTTCCATTTTCTTTTCCTTAGTTTCATTTTCAGAAAAAAACAGCCTCTTACCAACACTAAGAAATTTCCCTTAAAAACTAAAACAAAATAAAAAGTTAAAATAAGACATTTTGTCCAAAAATATTATTTAAAATCCTTATTCCGTGTGAATTACTGTGGCATAATAGTACTTGGGGCATGTAGAACTAGCACCAAGAGTTGATATTATCTCTGTTGGAGGAACACATTGAAATCAGTGTGAGTTGCACATAAGAATCTGAGAGTCGAATTTATCCTTAAATTAATAGCTCTTTACAACAAAGTAATTGACCCAAAGTATACTGACATCTGTAGTATGTTAGAGAGACAAAGTGGATGAGATAATATCTTTTATTGGACCAGTAAAATAAAATATAGTATGTGACGTGACATTTGAAACCTTGTAAAGGTTGTAGAGTAATTAAAAGATTGGCAAGTATTGAAAAGCTTAATGTCCTCCATGTTTTTTATAGATTATTTTAAGATATACTGTCAATGCTGATTTTCAGAACAAACCTACTCACTTAAGGGCTTATTTAAAGCACAGGACATGACTGATTTGATTTTGGATCATAAATCTTATTTCCTGATTACATTACTGATTTTGTCTCCATTTCTGTTTTCAGCGTGTATTTGTTTGGGATTTGGATGAAACTATCATCGTTTTTCATTCGCTGCTTACAGGATCCTATGCACAAAAATATGGCAAAGTATGTGACTCATGAATTCAACAATAGATTCAGGCTATCGATACACTTGGCATTTTTACTGTGCTTTTCATTTTCAGTGTGCCTTACAAAACTTAATTAACATTCATATGCCCTTGTGAGGGAGGGAGGTGAATAGTATTAACTCCATTTTACAGACTGGGAAACTGAGGTACAGAACTTGAGATTTGCCCAAATGGAGCAGCCAAGGGGACAGATGAGGTAAGATGTGAGGTCCAATACAGGTAGAGTTGCTGAGGTAGGTGCTATAGCTGTAAGGAGGAGGCTTCATTGAGTGAGAGGTGCTGAGGTTTCTGGTGCAGCTTTGAAAAGCTGTTGCAAATGGGTACTAGATTTGGTGGGAAAGGGGAAATAACTGATAAATTTGGAAACAGGGCGGGGAAAGGGAATGAGTAAACTGGATGATGAAAAAGGAAATGGAACTGATGAATTTGCAGGGAAAGGAAAATGTTAAGTCAGAGTAAATGGGTGGGAGGCAGACCTGTCTAACCTTCAGCTTTAGGGTGGAGGCTCTGGGTTTATGATGTACTCTCTGACACCTCAGCCTTCCTGGTGAGTCGCTGGTGTTCTTGGATGGCTGTTGGGTTGGGCAAAGCCGCTGGCTGACACACACTCTGCTGCGAATCAGTTATTTCAATGTACACAGCTACTCCCCTCTCTGCCACTGAGAAATCCAAAGATGGCTGGAGAAGAAGCCCAGAACAGGGAGCAATGAGCAGCCAGCAGTGAAAGGAGAGAGAGGGAGAAGCAACCCAGAAGTAGTAGCAACAGGAATTTCCGTACCTACTGAGCAAGGAACATTTTATACAGATTTTCTTCAGGGTTTTTGCTGCATTGACATTGGCAGGGCTGATGGCAGAATGAATGCTGATGATTTGGGTGGGGGTGGCAGCTTAGAAGATAGAGAAGTCCATGAATTGCAGGATGGCATGGTTATGTGAAACAGGTGTGGGGCTGTGTGAGAGAGAGAGAGAGAGAGAGAAAGTGACAGGTGTGAAGCATGTTTCTGTTAATAAAAAAAAAGAGGAGGGAAGAGAGTTTGGTGTTAATGCACATGTGGAGGTGTTTGCAGGAGTATGCGCATGAATATGTGTATTTGGAGATACAGGTAGTTGTTTCTCCTGGTGTTTATGAAAAAGGTGGGCTAGTAAATTTTTGTCTGTCATGGAAACTCATCAGCTCAGTTCTGGAATGCTAAAATAAGATTAGCTATTCGGCTCTGGTACGAATAACACTTGTTTTACACCTTCACAGTGCCAAATCAGTGCATGTTATACTGTTTTGCCACTTATATTACCATACATCCTACACACTCTTCTAATGCTATTTTTACAAAAAATATAATTCTGTTCACTTTGACAAAATTACTCTGTTTTTATATCTCTGTGAGAGAAGAATCACACCAAACATGCAACTTACATCATTTATATCACCATTGAATGTGGAGTTGCTATACTTGACCCAATGATTCAGTTACTTGTAATTTTAATCCAAGTGTGCTTGCAGCCTTTTGGATGGTATAACTATTCTGATGCAATATTTTTCTCCATCACAGATATTAACAATTAAGAAATTATTTATCATTATTGGTGCAAAGCTTTTTAAATTGAAATATGTTACAGAGCTATCAATCCTTTCTGGATAACTTTGAAAACTATTCTAGACAGAGATATCTTCTTGGTTTCCTTCTCTTGGGGTTGTTATTTTTTTTCTTCCTCTCCCCCCCCCCCCCCATATCTGTAGGGACATTTAGATGAAAACAGCATCACTGCTTTGTAAAAACTCATCTGCTCCTGCAATTTATTCCCCATAGAAAGCCAGAATATGTGGTAATGACTATTTACAGCAACCAGTTGTGATATCAGATAGAGATTATGAATTTATTTCCATGGGTCCGGAGTAACTCAAGTGAAAGTGAAATTAATTGATTTATGCTACTGAGATTAGAATCAGGATCCAAGACTTCAAGTGACGATGACCCACGACAGAGGATTTCTTAAATAAAAAAGCTCCTGTTTTCATACTGCTAGACATAGTAAAATAAAAATCATAGGGATACAGAGTCATTCCCAGAGTAAATTAAGAAATGGCAGATATTTTCTTTTCTAGAGCAGTTATCTTCCTAGTATTGTGGTAAACATATTTAGGATGATGTATCATTGAGCCTCAAATATGTAGTAAATTCTTGTCTAATATTTTATGTTACTTCATATATTCTTTTTTTATATGGAGGAAGGATGGTTCATTGGTTAGGGCACTAGACTGAGGCTTGGGAGACTGTGTTTCAAGTCCTTGCCCAAATCACTTAGCCTCTCTGTGCCTCAGATCACCATCTGTAAAATGGGGATAATCATCCCTACCTTGAAGTAGTGGTGTAAGGGTGAATATATTAAAGATAATGAGGCACTTGGATATTATGGTAATAGAGGCCATATAAGTACCTAAAATCTAGTTATACTTCATTGTTTCAAAAAACATATTGGGCATTGATCCTTTCTTGTGATTGTGCTCCTCCAGTGGCACAAAGTTGGTTTAAGGCCAGTTTAAACAGCTTGTGGTATAGAATTAAAGCAGTGAGTCCTACACCTTCCCCTGTATCGTCTCCTAGTATTGGGGGCAGCACAGCTCCCAACCTGTGCCTTGATGTCTGGCTTTAAACTGTCAGAGTACTTTACCCTGTGTCCCCTGATTCTCAGCTCTTTTTGTAAATATGTTTTTACTGTATATTGTGTTGTCTCGTATTGTTTAATAAAACAAATTTTCTCCCAAAAGAGAAAATACAAGATAAAATGAGACAGAAGGACAAGGGTCTCTCAGTACGTTTTTCAAAGTTTTCTAGTGAGTGATTAGAATGGTGCTACTATAAATAGGGAGAAAGCATTTTATGGTGAACAGAGTGGTCAAATTGCATTTTCAAGGTGTGAAATTCTGGGATTATACTGGTACTTAGATGGACCATTTTCCAGGGTTTCACCTTTGTTCTACTATTCTAACATTTATACAGACCCTCTGAATGTACAGATGGATATATATACACACCCTCAACTATTCCCCATCTAAACACATCTGCCATCTCTTGTCCTTCTCTTTGCCCTATTTCTTGCTGTGACCAGGGGGAAACAAAATATATATCTTTTAGGCTTTACTGCTCTACTGTCATCATGGCTGTGCGTGGAAATGCACAGAGTAGAGAGTCAACTTAGCTCAGTGTCACAGTCAGACTGGCAAACTGTGTGTATGCAAGGCCAGTACAGAGCCATAGAGGGACCAGCAGATTAAAAATTCTTCTTTTAAATCTCACCCTCCTTCTCCGCAGGCAGTAGCCTAAGGGAGAAGAGAACAGTGATCCTGATTTTATTTTGGACTTCTATATGGGACTGCAATCAGAAAATCATAGAAATCTAGAACTGGAAGGGGTCAGCTAGCCCAGTCCCCTGAACTGAGGCAGGACTAAGTAGTATCTAGACTTTCCCTGACTGGTGTAATATCAATAGTAGTATTAACAAACTGTGACAGATTGAATGAAGATTTTTTTAACATTATGAGCAAGATTGTAAATGTCTCATTAAAATATATGGCAAATTGCTTCTTCATGGGAGGGAGCCAATTGAAAGACTAGCTTGCAGTTTTCCCTTAAAGCGAGAGAGGCTTTGCATGTTTGAGTTTGGTCAGTGCAGAGCTACAAGAGATTAATTAAAAAGTCACAATTAAGTGATTGTCTGATTTTTTTTTTTATTGGACTTTCCAGAGTTAATTATTTTATGTTATCTAAATATGTCTGTCTTTCAGCTTGTAAGGTAAGGTTACTTTGCTCATCTCATTTGTTGATGCTCTTCATGCACCATAAAATTAGTACACTTCTATTTTTAATTATTTACTGCAGCAGCAAATTATGATCATTGGTATCTGAGCTGTTTGGTTATGACCTGTGTGGCTGATGATGGTTTTTGCAGCTGAGCACCAGTTGGCACATATAGTTTTCTACAATGCTAAACTCTTAAATAAGGATTTGTTGATGTGACAGGACATGTGTTAGGAGACTGTCATCATCTGTTAAATTTTATGAAGTACATTCCTGTTCTCTTATTAACAATATGTATTCTTCTCTCTATTATGTCCCAGTGATTTCTCACTGTTTTGGAGCTGAATAAGCTGTACTTAGTGTTAGCATTTCCAACGTGGTAAAATCATTTATTTCTTTAAGGTCAATCCAAAGAGCAAAGATGCTTCAAAAATACCATAAGTCAAAGTTCAGGCTGGTAAAAAAGAATGACTACCTTTCATGGCACTGCAGAAGAAAAAGTCTTAGTTCTCCAAACTTGAACGTGTGTTACAGAGAATTCAGGATGATGTTTTAGACAGCCTTAAAAAAAAGTGCAAAATGTGACAGTACAATTCAACAGACCAAACCCTACAGTACATTTGAAGAGAAAAGTCAAAATTCTACTCTATGGTGAAAATGTATGGAACCTGCCAACTTTTTTATCAAGTAGATAAGCACTGTTACAATTTGAGTCAGATGTAAGCTAGTGCCAAAATGTATTAGGCTTTTTTCGACAATTTTCTGATTTTTCTGATCCACCTACATCTTTTAGTTGTTTCCAGTTAATACCTCTTTTATTATTATTTATTATTATTATTCAGTGTACAAGGGGCTCAGGGGATTGATGATTGCTGGGGCCCTACCAAATTCACAGTCCATTTTGGTCAATTTCACAGTCTTGGGATTTTTTAAATAATCAGTCTCACTGTTTCAGATGTTTACATCTGAAGTTTCATGGTATTGTAACCGTGGGGGTCCTGACCCAAAAGTGGTCGTGGGATTGCACTCTTACTTTTGCACTGCTGCTGGCGGGCGGCGCTGCCTTCAGAGCTGGGTGGCCAGAGAGCAGTGGGGTCGCAGGGCATGGGGAGGTTGTTACTTGGGGTAGGAGGCAGGGCCAACCTTACAGCTGGGCGACTGCCCAGGGCCCCATGGTCAG